AGACATGAGACAGGAGGTGGCCAAGTGTTCAAGCGAGCCTGTACTGCAGTGGAGCTCTGATTCAAAATAACCTCAGTTTCGCACATATCTGAGTCGTTAATGACCTCGAGGCTAAAAGCAAAGCTGGCTAGTGTTCCCTGAGGCTGATTTTTACCTGAAGTCCTTGACTTTGTACAAAACCCAAAATGCCTTGATACTTGTCTTCAGTAATTAGACTTTAAATTTAACTTTCTCTCCCTGCTTCCCACCCCTTTTAAAGGAGGAGTTGTTAAGGGACAACTTTTTTGAGGTAATTAACCTAAGCCATTAATTCAGATAAGCAATTATTAAATGATAATGTATAAATGTGAGAGTTATGAATAGAAGCACCTGAAACATGCCTTAGAGTATAAGGAATAATACACTAAACCAGCACAGTGCTGATGCATGAAAGTTGCCTGGTAAATTTCTTTCAACAGATTTTGCCGTGCCTGAGGCAGAATATTTATTGTGTGACTAGTCATGGTGAGATACACCAGCAGTCTATGCTTTTGGGAGGTGGAGCAGTGAAGGTCACAAGTCTCAGACCAAATCTGGCTGTATAGTGAGACCCTGTCTGCTCCCAAAAAACACCCTCCAACCCCTAGTGTTAAGAGTCATTAAACTGAAGTTAACTGTACATTTATTGTGTCTGAATAATGTTCTTTGCACATCAGGTCTGTACTTGTGGCAAAAAGAGAAGTTTTCTTGGTCCTTATAAAAAAAGTGAGTGTTTCTTTTCCTCAGTACCATGTTACCCGAAATACCTGTGCGTCAAAATGGTACCCTTGGGTTTGTGGCCTTGGATCACCAGTGGCTGAGCCATTGAGCTTGGGAGGCCCCTGCCTTAGCATCCTGAGTAGCAGAGATCATGAGAGTGAGCCATGGCCAGGCCTTAGCTGCTCTAAATCAGATCATAAACTTTTGTCTTTTACCAGAAGTTGTGTACTTTCCACTTTTTTTTTACACTCACCTTGTTTCCACCCTAAAAGAAAAAAAAACAGTGTACTGCATGTTTTACCTTCCCTTAAACTTGAGAGCTGTTTTTCTGGCTTGTAAGCCCTTCTTTGTTCTTCAGCTAAGAGTCATAGGCACAGGAAAACAAGCAGCACAGGATACTTTGTTTCTTCTCTGGTTAGTGATTTAGTGTGTATGGGGGGGAAGGTATTAAATACGGAGACAGTAAACCTTTCCCTTGGCCTGCTCTATCAGTAGCCTCAACACCTAGCAAATTGCCTGCCTAACCACCTAGTAGATATTTATTAAATATTTCTGAGATAAGTTTTGTCTGTTTTCTGAACCTGTTCTCCACAATGAAGATTGTGTCTTACTTTATCTTGTTCTTAGAAACAGTTGAGTTGTGTGTGAAACACAATAGTTGCCATTCATGTGCATGCTAATCTTGATCTTAATCTCTCCATTATCATTTCCATTTTCCCAAAATAATTACTTCTGCTCAGTTCTATTTTTAAAATGTGCTCAGGAAATACTGGTACAGTTTATCTTTTACAATGCCTCTAATAATTTACAAAGTAAATGCTTGAATTTTATTCATAGTTCCACAATGTTATTGAGGATATTTAAAATCAATACTAGAAAGAGCAAACAAAAATAAGTCTCAGAATACAAACTACTGCTTTAAAGTTGATTCTTGTCTAATAGCTATATTTTAATGAAAGAACTGGGGAAAAATCTTTGGGACAAACCTATGAAAGAAGTAGCTATTAAGATTTAAATCAAATCCAGAACTTGGGAGGTGGAGGAAGGAGAATCAGAGTTCAAGGTCACCCTAGGCTATATACTGAGTCCCAGGCCAACCTGGGCTACAGGAAACCCTGTCTCAAATTAACAAGAGTTTAGATAATGGCGGTAAGAAGACTGATGTGAATTTCACATGCTTCATGTCTTGTTTGAGTGACTGTGATACATCATAGAACATGCCTTCAGTATGTGCCTTTGCTCACATGTTAGTGGAATGTTAAGTGCTTTGAACACTAGAATTTTATATGTTGAGCAAGAAATACTATAAAAAAGTAGATTACGTTACAAGTGTATTCTAGAAGTATGACTAAATTCTCTAGACCTCATTAAACTTCAGTCAGGTAGTCTCATGGAAATCACCTGTGTTAGTGCCGCCTCTCCATTTAGTACCAGTTTTCACGTTTGCCTTTGCCTTAGCTAGGATTTCTACTGCTGTGATAAAGCACCCTGATATAACTTGGATGATGTCTTAGTTACTGTTCTATTGCTGTGAAGAGACATGATAACCAAGGCATTTTTTACAAAAGAAAGCATTTAACAGAGGGCTTGCTCACAGTTTCAGAAGATTAATCCATGATCATCATGATGGGAAGCAGGCAAACAAGGTTCTAGAGCAATAGCTGAGAGCCTTACATGCTGATTCACAGGCAGCAGGCAGAGAAGATGAAACACTGGGGCCTGCTTGGCTTTCTAAACTTTAAACACACTTTCAGTGACATACCTCCTCCAAAAGTCCACACCTCCTAATCCTTCTCAAATAGTTCCACTCTCTGGTGATTAAGCATTCAAATATATGAGCATATGGGGGCATTTTTATTCAAACCACCACAGCGAAAGAAAGGTTTTATTCTAGCTTACAACCCTCAGAATGCATTCTACTAAAGGAAGCCAGGGCAAAGATCTAGAGGTAGGAACTGTTGCAGAGGCCATAAAGGGGTGCTGCTTACTGGCATGCTCTGCATGGCTGGCTTAGCCTGCTGTCTTATGAAACACAGAACACCAGCTCAGGGGGTGACACTGTCCACAGTGAGCTGGGCTTTCTTACATCTGTCATCAATCAAGAAAATGCACTACAAGCCATTCTGCTGGGGTTCATTTTCTCAGTCAAGCTTCCTTTTTCTCAAATAACTATTTGAGAATGTCACATTGACACAGAACTGACCAGGATGCCTGTAAAGAATGCCAGGACACAGCTGCTTCTCCTCAATGGCTCAGCTGACACTGAATTTGCTGTTCACAGTGATCAAAGAAAGCTGGGACTCACCTCACTGTTGCAGTTCAACCTGATTCTACAGACAGGCCCAGGTAATACTTATCCAAAAGTACCCAGGACCCATGCCAGCTTCTCTAATCAAGCCTCCTGGGAGGTGATGAAGGGAAACATGTTTTCCTCATACCTCCAGGTAATTTTTATTTTGTACTTTATCTTACATAATGAGGCCACACACTGTGCCCCACCCCACTATTTTACTTTTTAATCATTCTCTTCCTCTGTCCTTCTTTGTCCCAGGTCTGACATAGCTCTGTTTGTATCCTTTCCCTTTATCTTTTAGTTCAAGGTTTTTAAAGATTGTTCCAACACTGAGACATCCTGCTTGTTTGCATGATGAGTACTCTTCCAACTCGTTAAACCCAGTTTCTTGCCTGACCCTGCTCTGAGAGGCTGGCTTCTGTGTACTGCATCACTCATCCTTCACCCTCTGAGTCTGTTTGGTTTCAGCCAGTCTGGGATCATTGGCAAAAGATCGAAAGGAGGAGAGAGTCCAGAATATTTACTCCCTCCCTGTGACTGCTGCTTCATCTTCCATTAAGACCCGCAGCACCTGTCAGATACCTGTGTCTTGTAGCCAAGTTATAGAACGGCTTATCTCTTTCAAACACAAAGCATTCCTATATTGATGACAACAATTCTAATTGGCACGGATGCTTAGAGAATGAGCTTGTATTTACTATGAAAGCTGACCAGACCTGTAACTTTGAACCAGGAACCTCATGCCTCAGTAGAAATGCATACATGTGCACACATGAAACAAAATATGCAATTTTCAAAATCAGACCAAGCCAATACAGGATAACAGAGCTGATACACTTTGAGGGGGTGAGGGTTTAGACACAAAGACTAAGGAGCTGGTCAGTATTGCACTCTCTATTCCTTGAGCTGGATTATGAAGGTGAGAGAGCCTCTCCCTAACACTTCAAAGAATCCTGGAGGCAGAAACTGAAGCAGATTGTGGAGGAATGCTTCCTCCTGTCTTCCCTGGCTTGTTGCACAGCTATTATATTTTTACATAGTACATACTACCTTCCTAGGAATTCATGGCCCACTATGCGCTAAACCTTTACACATCAATTAGAAGTTAAGAAAATGGCCCCACAAACATAGTTTCAGGCCTATCTGATGGATTAAATTCCTCAGTCAATATTTCCTCTTCTCATATTTGTGCCAGGTTGACCGAAATTAACCAGTACACAAATCATAACTGACAGGTACCATTTGTGAATTTATTTCTTCCTGTTACAACTCACTGAAATTTCTGGAAAGGACAGTACTGTATTAATAAAAGAAGGCGGGGTCTGGAGAGATTGCTCAAGTGTTAAGAGCACTGGCTACTCTTCCAGAGGACCTAGGTTTGGTCCAGCCTCACCTGGTAGCTGAAAAACATGTGTGACTCCATCCCAGGAGATGCAGCACCCTCTTCTGACCTCCGTGAGGATGAGGAATACAAGCGGTGTGCAGAGACACATGCTGACAAAACACCCATACCTCTAAAATGTAAAAAAAAATAGTAATAAAAGAAATCATACTGTTGGTGTTAGCAGTTATTGGACATTCTACTGGATACTTTGAATTAGCCACCATGGAAACAAAATTACAAAAGAGTTTCCTTTTTGGCAAGTCAATGTATTTTAAAAATCTCTCAATAATGGATTGGAAGGTGATGAAGAAGGGAGAAAAAATAATGAAACCAAATTTTATTTGGAAAAATAATGAAATGTAATTCTTGTAAACTAATACTTAAAATGTAATTCTGTCTGAATGTACCCTCTAAGTTCTAGCCATTAGATGATATGCTGGATTTTTCAATACAACTACCATATGTGTTTTTAAATTAAATGTTACCACACTTAGAAAATTACTATATGATTTATTCTTACATCTAAGATAGATGCTTTAAATTAATGTATGCATTAGACAACAAAAAGTTTTCATGCAATTTATTTTTACAAAGTAATTGCTAAGGTATTCAAACTAAAAGTTCCTAGGATGAGTAGGGCCCCATCAGCCTCATAGCCCTGCATCTGTATTTTCTCAGAATTAAGAACATTAAAAAATACTTTTGCACCTTCCCATAAACTCTCCACATATATGTTAATGTGTGTATTCAGGTTTGGGATTGGTTTAGTTTTTGCATATTTCCAGACTATATTCTTCTGCAACTTCTTCTTCCATCACTATAGTCGCAGCATGCATACATTTTCATGCATAAATGTCTATATTATTCTTTTAAGTATAATATCTACCTTGTTTTTAATACTTGTATATTGTACCAATATAGTGAAGTGTTATAATTTATTTAGCCTTTCCCTTACTAAAAAGTATTTATATTGTTTCTGGGTTTTCTCCATGTATTTGAGAAAGTATATGTAAAGGAGCCACTGTCTCGATGGCATACATTTTTATATTAAAATTAATTCAAACAATTATCTTCTATGAGCACTTTCCAAAATCAGATACCTTGATACACTAAGACTGGGCCTCCAGTGGGGGAACCTTCATTCCACTTCTTGTCCTCCATTCCAGGGTCTCCAGACTTGCTCTCTCCTCTCAACCTACCTTCAGCCCCTAGGGTCTCTGCCTCTTGGTGTAAAACCAGTATCCCTCTAGTCCTTCTCCACCATCACTCTCAGCCTTCTCCTCTGGCCTATCTCCTGACTTGTAGACCTTGGCTAGAATTCAAGGACTCACCAGATTCCACACTTTCATAAGACCCAGATAGGGAAAGATCAACTCCCCAAATTGAATACCCACCCTACAAAAACATGATATCTACACAAACGAAGTACCTCAAACATTTTAACTCCAGATACCAACCCCAGCACAGAAACACAAACATGAATAACCAAGACAATATGTCTTTTCCAAAAGCCAGACTATGTTTTGTTAGATCCTCAGGAAAG